GAGCTTGCTGTGCCAAAAATCCTTTATGAGCTTCCCATGCCTAAAGTCGTTATGGACGCAATCATCCCCCCCTTTCAAAGAAAGCTATCAAAGGAATATAGTTTGTAAAGGTGCGTGAGGTTCGGAGCTTGCCGTGCCAAACAGCTTTTATGAGCTTCCCATGCCTAAGGTCGTTATGGACGTTTTCATCCTCCCCCCCTTCAAAGAAAGCTATCAAAAAGTGTGAAATTCCATAAACGTCCAAAAACGCGTTTTGGGCCACAATACCTCAAGCTGGAAAAGGCTACGAAACNNCCAGTGAATTCGTCCAAGGGCACAAGAACAGAGCTCTAAAGAATCAAGGAAAAGCAGACTTTCAGGCAAATGCAAGAAATGCATCGTATTTGGGTGCTTAGGGTGCAGGTAAGGTCCTAGCAGGCTTTCTGGGGCCGGCCGGGCCAGGTGGTGGCGCGTGCGAGAAAAACGACATTCCCTAGACTTATGACAGTGTACCTTCTCAGCCTCCCGAAATGCATGTACCAAAAGTCAGCAAGGTGCTGACCGGTTGCTGGCCTGCACGGTCAAGGGGCACAGCTCGTGGGACACGGCCGCCATGACGGTCGGACATCGCTGGCAGGCAGTGGCAAATCAAAACTCATGCGAAGTTTGCCTTTCTAGTCTTCACACACTCTTGCTCCCATCCACGGAGGTAAATATGACTCTCATTCTCATGACCACGGCGTCACTCAAAGCACAAGTCGATACAACATGACACATGACAGGAAGTTTCAAGAACAAATTGTGTGCTACAAGTATTGCATGCTGCTCTTTAAAGCAGTATGAGGTCGGCTGGCCTTGACGATGATGCACATGCACTCGAGACACAAATGCAGAAGCTCCTGGGCAGCTCTGGCTTCAATCACAGAGAGGCAGAGAGGCAAGTGACGCATTCCAATCACTGCCGCCATGCTATCAAGCGAGATTAGTTGCACTGTAACAGTGGCATCTTTACGCAGCAAGCACCAGGCACAGCTTGCACGCAGCAGCTGCTTCTATGGCCCTTAGCCGCCTCGTCTGCATCCCGAAGCAGGGAGCCCAGTGAAGCCAGAACACCTCCTTTGAGGAGCAGCTCCTGAGACGACACGTCTCGCATGCTATAGCAGCTGGCCGCTCTCCCAAAAAGTTATCTGTGTGTGTGCACTTGACTTACAGTGTGCCAAGCATGCAATGCTAGTCAGGCTGCCTCCTGAAGCTTGTTGTCATGAAGCGCCGTGAGGAATCGGCAGAAGACCCGGCAAGCACTGACACGCAAGGGCGCGGCTCACAATTACACTTTACTACGAATAGGTCTGGTCTGAAATGCAGTCAACGTGAATCGGAACTGCACATAGCGGAGGCTATCTTCAAGCTCATGATCCATCCTGCCTTACACGAACCACCAAGGGTTCATCACTGCCGAGGCCTTTTGCAGCCGCCTTGCTACGAGTGAGGGAAGTGACATGCACTTAGAATGTCCAAGGCAACATAAACAACATTTTGCGCCAAGTTTGAAGAGAATCGGCCTCATCGAACATGCAGCTTGACAGCAAGAGCAGGCCTCAAGAAGCTGCGGGATCTCCTCCCGAACCTCGGCAGTGCTCTGCAAAACGAAATCTATCGCGCTGACATCGCCTTGGGCTTTCCTACGGCTCGCCTCTCAGCCTTCCACACTGCCTTTGCAATTTCCTTCTCCTGCCCTCAAAAAAGACATGTCAAACTTCCTCAGAGAGAGGCATCTAAGGCATGCATACGAGGGAATGCAATTTTGGTGAGGTCCAGAGGCCGGGCTGCACTGGGTGACAGCGCATCTTTGGCGCTGCAAAGGGCTGGCAATCGCCACAGGGCCCTAGCACTACCTGTGTGAGTCATGACGTAAAAAGCTGGCAAATGCATAGCATGGCTAGGTGTGGCGTTGTTCGCAAAGGCAGGTGCGAGGATCACCTTGGAAACGCCTCAGGGCCAACCCCGAGCGCCCGCGGCCGCACTTTGTGAGTAAGCCTGAAAGGTCCCTTTGGTACTCTCCCTTCCCACGTCGGCCCCCGAGCCCAAAGGGCCCCCGAGAAAGCAATGCATTCATCTCAGGAGCTCTGAGTTTGAGGCAGTGCTTGTATCTTAGACTTCACTGGGCTTCTCATCTCCGCCAGAAAACTCCATGGTCCGAGGCTTGCATTAAGCTGCACCTCATTAGGTGAGGCATCCCAGCATTCAGCAAAGTCTCTAGTTGATGGCACCGAAGACTTCCTGTCTTGCAACTTAAGGAAGAATTTCTACCTTGAAATGATATGCACTCTCCATCCAGACCGGAGGTATAGATCCCACTCAGAGGGCAGCTGCTGCCGCAATCCTGGGCTCAGATGCGAGGCTGCTCTCATGCATGTCGGACGGGGGGTTTCAAATTGGAGTCAACACCGCAAGATAAGCTAAGTTTTTACAGCAACCGCGGCGCTCTAGCCACAGAAGCGCGAAGAGCCTGCTCGAAGTATCTGGCACGTCCCGGTCATCGAACACCACTCCATTGCCTGCAGCATCTGGCAACATCACTGTCTCAACACGTCTCAAGAGAGCGGATTAGGCAACGTCTCGGCACGCCTCCGCTTCCGCTGAAGTCGGGGGCCTGCACTCGCTTAGATTTGAACTCTCGAACACTAGCTATGCCACACCTAGTGACCAGTCGAAAGAAGCACTTGCTTTTAGCTATGCAGGACAGCCTGCACAGCAGGGCCGCTGAGGAGAGGCGGTGCAACCTGCACAAAGCTTTAAGCTGCAATTCTTACAGCTTTTTTAGAAGATAATTGGTGGCTATGGCTACTAGGTGCCGGAGATTTCGCACAGCGGTTTGTGGTGGTTTTCGCAAAGGTTTCTGACAAAATCCATCTTGTGGACAGCCTTAATCAAGAAATGCACGGACCCTTGCAAGTCCAGTTCGCTAAGGTCCTTAACCATATTGGAACCTGATCCCTCAAAATTGCGGACTGTCATCTAATAGGCTCCCCCACGAAGAAACAATTTTTTCGCGCAATTTCAACTGACTGGAGTTACCATTTTCCACCCCCAGGCGCGCAACACGAGTTTTCATGAGAAACATCCCTACAGCGGAAACCGTGCTAGAATGCCACGAATGTTGGTTACTGTGGGGCTAAGACAGAAGCCCAATTCGGAGAGGAGCACGTACTTTTGACAACTTTGCAACTCTTCCTGAGAATCCTGAGACGAACGCCGTTTGCGAGAACTGCGTTGTCTTACTTGAGCTTCTGAAACGTTCAGCATTCCTGAAATCGCGCACGTGCTCAAGTCCACCAAGGGCTTGTACAGGATACCAGTACCTAAAGTACGCAGAGCAGCGCCGCTCAGGCTGAAAATGGTTCTGCCCGGCTAAGGCGGGCTCAAGGCAGCCGCGCTGCAAAAGACCATGCGATAAAGGCACACACAACGAAATTCTTTGTCAGCAGCTCCGAAGCGGCCTCCTGGACTTCGAGGGAGTATTGAATCAACTGCGCGGCGTTTACCTTGCGAGATGTAGCTGCTTTTGTGCAACTGCCCAAATTGTGTTGGCCCGTGCCTCCGTGGTCAGGAGGTCCGCAATCTCCACAGGCGTCGCACGGATCAGTAGCTGTTTGGCCTGGGTCTAAGGATGCTTCAGTACTTCTAAGCCCCAAGTGCTGTGGGCAGCGCTGTCTCAGCCCGCTCCGTGGCATCGGGGCCCTGGAAGGTCGTGGCCTGCAAAGAGACCAGGCTGAACCGCCCCACTAAGAAAAAGTCTGAGGTTCTGTCAGATCGAATTTCAACCGCAGCGCTGTCGGCTTGTATCTGCCTGCCAGACTCAGATTTTCTTCAAGAAGTGTCATTACTGTCGCAAAAATTCGCACTGCCAAGTCATAGTGACATGATTCAGCCATGCACCTGAAGTCCACGATTTCCAGCACGACTTGTGTGGTGTTGGCAGGGACCTGTTTTCAGAGCAAGACGGCAAGACTGGGGCCGCTTCCCACGATGCTTCGAGGTTGTGCAGTCTGAGAGTCTGTGGCTTAACTTGTTTGATACATGTTGCAAACAAACCTCGTGTGAATGAGACAAGCCATGCCTGCATCAGGGAGGCCATTGCCTGAGCCAGTGCCAGCGGTACCTGAAGGAGTCAGGAGACCCCATGAACGGGTCTGTCTGAGATGGGCTTCAGAGTCCATCTGAGCTTCATGCAAACAAGCATCCATGAACAATCTCGTCCGGGAATGGGAAACAGAACCCGCGTACGACTGCTCGCATCTGGCTACAAGTCCAAAGTTCACGAGCCATCGGGCATAAGGCCAATACGATTGATGGCACAACAGTTGCGCTGTGAGTTGTGTAGAAGCCCCATCAGTCTCCCATGGTAAACATCTGGGTGCGCAACGTGCCCTCTACAGTACTCCTCAGAGATGGACCCACAATTTTGCAAAATCCTTACATTATGTAATCTCTAAAGCGCCCCACATAATCCGAGAACATCTTGCACCGTGAGAAGCCCTCATCTGCCAAGCTACCTGGGCATCGGCCAGAAAGCGGTTAGGCATTGACCTCAAGGTCGAGCATCTGAAAGGCTGTTTTGGAGCCTCTTTTTTGTCCTTGATATTTCATCTGTGTTATAGGACCATTGCTCCCACAAACTGCAGGAAACAACGCCTCTACGATAGATATTCTCTTCTGAGCTGAGGAAATGGCACTTGGACCAGAATCACGCCGCTCAACGTCACGATGTGGACCTCAAACAAGGTGTCGTTCTGGCGATTCGGAGGCCCTCTGGACCAGTCCTCTGATTTCTCCGAACCTATCCGGGTGTTTCCATCAATTTAGGATCACTTTTTTGGGGGTGCCCGTAACCAGGAAGATAATCTTAGGAGATAGATAGAGAAGTTAATTATATATATATATATATGTCGAGACTCCCTGTCTTTGGAAATCCACAAACGGAATCGCTAGCTGCAACCTCTGGGCTGGCTGCAGTTGTTGTGGTCGTTGTTGTGCCTTGGTGCTGGCTGAGCCATCCCCCCGCAGAGAAAAAACGACAACTGCTCGGTCAATATCTGGCAACACCTCCGAATCTTCCATCAAGAGGCTGAGGGTGGACAAAGTGGCTGTGGTGGTTGTCTGTGTTGTAGCACTTGTGTTTGTAGTCGAGGTCATGGTATGGTTCCTGGCCCGTAGCTACGAAGGATTGCAACGTGATCAGTATTGAACTTGGAGCAGCAACAGCACCAAGGCTGTACAGCCTGGCTGCGTTATGATACTGCTAGGCTCAAAGAGGGTGAGGTTGCCTTCCAGAGGCCCTCTGCTTGCTGCAGCTTCAATGCATGGAGATTTCAAGTGCATATCAAAGGCTGAAGTGACCTATCAGACAAAAGGTCCTGTCCCATGCGGTTGTGGTCGAGCTGGTTGAGCCTGTGAACAAGCTGCTCACCTCAGCGGCTGCAGCAGCAGCAGCAGCAGCGTGCCGACTACTCTCAACATGCCATGTTGCATATCAATCTTCCAAGGGGTATGAGGAACTTCGGGCGCACACGTCACTCAGCTGGACACACATGGAGGCAAGGGTGGAAGTGCTAGGGCGATGGCAGTGCGCGTAAGCGGGCTAGACGTCGTCGTGTCTGTTGCAGTGGCCTGGCGCGTACCATGTTGTGCGTATCATTGGCATGCCATGGCAATTTGCATCAAGCTCCATTTGCCATGAATGAAGCCAGACACGGCCTGTGCTGAGGCATGGGCTGAGGGCGACGATGTCGAGGTTGTTCTTGAAGAGCTGGAAGTTGAGGAGGCCTGAGCCATTCATCCATTCATCCATTCAGCTGCAGCTCCTCTTGGGCCATTAGGTACTCTACTATACAGTGTATTACAGAGTGGCCGAACTTCGCACAGAGGATCGCGACAGCCTCCTGCCCTAAAATCCAAGATGGGAAACAGACCACCAAACACACCAAACTCAGGGGTGGGCAGATGATGCAAGTTTAGCTTTCGAGCTCATCTATGCCAAGCATACGATGAAGATCAAGCTTGGCACAGGGCAGAGCTGGTGCGCGAAGTTGGCACACTGGCCTGGGCAAGATCCGTCGCAACGAAAAGTTGTGACAGCCCAGGGTAGCTGGGGATTCTCATTGCTGGCCACCCTCCATCGAGCCACTGCCTTCCTTTGGCCATCGATACCAAGCCGGGTAGCTTTGCTGATCTTTCTAAACATTCACGTTAAGGCGGTCTCCAATCCAAGATAATCCAAGCTTTTGCCGCTGGAGGTTCTGGCGAGCTTGATCGGTTGGCCCGCTCACTTTACTCCACTCGGGCGCCTGCGCTGCTGGTTGAAGAACTAGTAGATGATGTCTGAGTTATCCACGACGTACTTGCCTCATGCATCCACTGGGGTGCCCAGTATGAAATATCCCTGTGCACATACGTGCTCACGATGCTAAAAACTGTCCTCCCATCAAGGCTCTGGCAGTGGTCTGCGTGGTTGAAGTTGACGTTGAGACCTCGATTGTACATTGCCATATCCAGTTGCCCGACTACCTCCACTGCGCGTGCTGTATCTTTCAGCCCAGCACATTCTCTGATTCGTTGAAGCCACCT